ATTAAGAGGACCCGAGGGAAGCTCGGAAAGCTAAGCAGAAGTTATTTGGAGAGGAGAGTGACTGCCGTTGGTTGAAAAGAGAGGTAAAAAAACTTCAGTGCTGTGGAAACATTATGGGTTCGCGGAGTCAGACGTGGATCAAGTAGACATAGTGTGTAAACTTTGCTACGGTGTCGTAGCTGCACCACAGAGCAACACTGCAAAGTTCACTAAACATAGATGTTTACATTTTTCATTAATTTTTTATATTGCAAACATTTGTGCTGTTATCAGTATTTGCACACTATTTTATATTATTTTTTTGACAATCATTAAAGCCATTATTCAATACATTGTTATTGTTAAATAAATATCATCAAATAATCGAGATCTCAATTTCAGTGAAAATAATCGTGATTATCATTTTTGCCATAATCGAGCAGCCCTAATTTATGTTATTTTATTCTTTTTCTATGGTTCTTTTATTTGATCATAAATTGGATTTTGATTTTAATTATGTAACAGCATGATGGAAAATAAAGAAAGTAAAATAAAGGACAATAAAGAAAAGCTAATAGGTAGGACTCTTTACCCCCTGAAAGCCTACTAGGAGTCACCCTTGATGCTCTAATGTTCTGAACAGAGCAGGTTTTGTCATATTTCAGTTCTACTTATAAAACAAAATGACTGAGTGTGCATCAGAACTGCCTCTGCAGTTACCCTGGGAAAACCTATTCTCATAGCCATCAAACACCTCTTTTCTAGCATTTACGTGCGAGTTTATGTACTATTTGAATATCAGCCACTTCCTGCTTCCTTCCTTGCATCTTCTCCATTTGTCTGTGTGACTTCTTTCCGGGTACTCTGTTGTTGATACTAAATATATCGTTGGTGAAAATGTAAGCACTGTGTTTCTCTATGTTAGCCGTTCACCCTATAAAAGCACCGCTTGTAAAAGATTACTATTTTGTTTATGCTTGAGGACTCGGCCCGCCTGGAATGTTGATCATCGATGGAAGCAGTGTATAAAATATGTGATATAACCAGTCTGCTAGACTTGCTCATGTTGGACTGTCAGTCAGCTCTAGAAAAGAGCAAAGTGATAATAAACCAAGAGCAGAAGCCAAACTGATTGTAAAAAATAATTAACAGTGCTCTCTGCAGCCACTTTTCACACTATATTTATTTATATTTGATTTTTTTGTGTGCTTCTCCCATTACTGGTGAACTCCATTAGTCCCCCCTCCCCTATTCCAGCCAATGTATCAACCGATCAGCCTTCAACAGACACATGTTATCTACTTCAGTGATGTGCAGTTGGGATTTTCGAGTACTGCATGAGACAAGAGCAGGTTTCACCGGTTTGTGAAAACCCCTGTATCTTTGCTGCTCAAACAGAAATGCATGTGTTGATGGACACATTTGCATCCAAAGCGTACTAACATTAGCAGCCTCAACGACTACCGACCAGTTGCTCTAACACCTGTTATAATGAAGTGCTTTGAGAAACTGGTCCGAC